ACCGGGAGCTAAGAGCAATGCTCGCTATTGAAGGTAAGAGCAATGCTGGGTACCGAGGGAAGGAAAACGCTTGATGCCAAAGGCTTTTCTGAAGCCCAGTTAGGAATTAATGCTGATATTGACATCATTTCAAGTGATAGCATGCAACAAATGGATCCGCAATCCCATGCTTAAGTTTTGTTTGAGGGAGGAAAAAAAAAAAGTCCGAGGTATGGGACAAAGAGTCATGGTCTCATTGGAATAAACTTTGAAAAAAGTGATGAGGAGGTAGAGAGTATTTGTCCAGGGTTGATTATTTTTTGTTACAGTAATGCTCTTCTGGCTTTCCTGCAGCATCGCGCTGCTTTGGGTACCGTAGAAAATGGCAGGGGTGACCCACAGAAGGGAGCCTCCTTCCTTTTAACGTTTCAGATCTGGTTTACAACAGTATCTCACTAGGGGAAAAAAGTCCCATTGGTTTTGGTGGTAAAGCACTATGTTTGCGAAGTAACTATTTCATCACAAGCAACACCAGGATTAGCGCGATCCTTTGCACAGATTTTCTCCCTTCTCTGCAACTCTCCCGACTTTAGTCACCTTACCTGAATGAAAACTCATGGGAAGATTGACACGCAGGATAAGTGAAACAATTGCGTCCTTTCCATAGGGCTTTCAAGTGAATTGTACAATAATCCTGGGGATGATTCATAATAAAAAATAAACATCCAGACAGCTTAAACCACTGCTTGCATTATTTTCTTATTTAAATATCTTAAGTGTTTTCTAATGCTGCACCACTTATACCTCTCAGTCACAAATGCTGTCTTATAGTTCAGAGATGTTTGCTTCAAAGTTAATCCTTTGGGCTCTGTAGAATGGACCTTTTGTCTAATCAATGCAAATTGATTTTGCTATTCTGTATTGACCTCTCAACCCTTTGACTGTCCATGGTAATTTCTTTCTTCACCTGATAAGGTAGCTGATCCATAATAAATCAATTCTAATTAGTTTGGAGACTTCACTGGGAACGTAACTTTGTAGGAAAAAAGCAGCAGGTTTCAGGTAGTTTTTTCGTATCTCTCCATCTCTGGTTATATTTTTTGAGTAAGACTATGCTCACTGTATTTTTGGATGAACTTGAGTCATAAGTATACACATTTCTTTCTGCAGAGACAAGCCAGATTAATTGGGAGTCATACTAATGAAATATTTAAAACATAAAATACTCTAAAACCAGAGAAGAGCTAAGAGATATTGGATTTAAATCCAAAATTTAAATGTTTAATTGCCTTTTATCTGTTTTACTGTCTTGGAACGTCCTAGCAGCAGCCTTTGAATGTCTAGCAGCCTATGCCATTCACACTTTGACTTGAGCAAAAATCTGTCCTTTTTCAATTTCCTTTTTCTAAGTTCAGAGAGAGATGCCAAAACCCAGAAAGGTCCTCTCTTTTTTCTTTTTCTTTTTTTTTTTTTTTGTGCATGCTACTGGTGATATGGTAAATAGGGCTTTAGGGTGAAAACGTAAGTGCTGGAGAATTTTGGTTTTGTTTTTTATTTATATGACAAAGTCTGCATTCGGCATTTTAACCCTCAATAAGATTATTCGTCTGCTAGAAGTTTTCGCAGCAATCTGCTTTTACCTAAAAAACATATTAAAGAGAAACTCTCCCAAGAAAATGCCTGTGAAATGTCAAAACACGCGTTTGTAACACGTCACCTCTCGATGTGTGTGTCAGCGCTGTATCACTTTCTGTGTCCAACATACACTGGGGTGCAAAGAGGCACTTTTTGGGAAGCACTGGTAAAACAACACCATTTACAATATGATCTCCCTGAAGAAGCATGTGCTGCCTGAACAGCCCAGTGCTGTCTGCTCCGAGGCCATTTAGCCTATTGCTAATGAGCGCTTGGGTTCTGTGAAAGAGTTGAAAAGATAGATCTCACTTTTACCAACACCAATTCCAAACCTGAAATATAAAAGCAGGAAAAAAAACCCATATAAATATGACAGGATGAGACCAGTTTGTTTGCCTAAAAGAAAGACAGAACGCACCGACCCAAACTGGAACTTCAAAAAAAAAAATCTTTGAAAGGTGATAATTACTGTTTTGGTAAATTGCTCTAACTCTTCCACGCGTGACTGTGCTGTTTAAAAATCTATCAACCAATTTACTTAGCTAGTTGATGACAGGAGGGAAAGGA